GTAGAATTCTTTGTTGTGAAGTGTGTGGTTTAAATAGGGAGGTATCAACGTTCGGTATGCTTAATGACGCACATGGCAAACCAAGTGATGTCTAGTCAACTCAGACGTGCAATGAATTCTAATCAACTCAGCTTTGCAACAAAAAGATTGATACCTACTTGTAGGCCTGCAACGATTGGTCATATCATGCCATATAGTCGTGAAACACTCTAGTCCAATCAACCTCAGCTATAAAGAAAAGCTACACATGGAAAAGCATAAGCCTACCTATAGACTTGCAGTGAGTTGTCACTTTACGTCATATCAAGTAATGGGCAATACCAACAATGCATGCATTTAATTTAAATTGAAAGTTGATATTGCAATACAGGTATGCATACAAAGTACAAAGTAGTTGTACAAAAGATCAGTCAAAACACAAAACAAAACTGTACAAAGTGGACTTGAATCAAAGAACATCATCATAGTTATATTTACTTAGCCGGTATTATTTCCCTTGTTAAGTGTGTCGTTTAAAGAGAGATGTATCATGCAAGTAAGTGATTTCTAATCAGTTCAGGCATGCAGTGATTGGTCATATCATGTCTCTTAGTTTGTGAATATTTTGACCAACTAAAGTGGCAGACGCATGCACCCACACACTGCTAACAACCCGGGGGGAAGAAAAGCTTAAGCCTAACTATAGACCTGGCGTGACTCGTGTCAAATGTAAAACTTTTGAACATGAAGTAAACAACCCATCAATGGCCAATTTCATCCCTTCTGACCAATCATATAATCATTTTAAATTGAAAAGACGAATGCATATTAAGCCATCATTAATACCATACAACAATACAAAGTAGATTTGCAAAATATCAGTTATCACACACAAAATAAGTGGACGGCCGTTTAAGAACATCATCATAGTGTACTCTACCCAACGCTTACTTAAAAAACAAAAGGCTAATAACAAAGAAAACCATGCACCAAAGTGTAACTCTCAACTTTACGGACAACATCATCAAGGCTCACCTGCAGTTCTACAGTTTTGGTTGCTTCAATCTCCAAATTAAGGCCCATCACTTTATTATCATTTTCCAACGCGTTTTTCTCGGAAGATTTTAAGTCCAACCGCTCTGATAGCAATTTCTCCATTACATTTTTGCACAATATTTGCTCTTGCAACCGGTCTTTTTCAGCCTTAAGCTTGTTAAAACAAGCCTTTTGGAATGGCGGCAACTCAGGATCAATCCATACAAACATGTGACAAGCCTTTTCAGCCTACAAAGTTGAATGAACCAACGAAGGTGAATGAATCACTCAAACAAAAGTACTGTAATTGAAACTCAAATAACACTGCGACAAAGGCGGATAAAAATTTGACCTTTCGGTGAGGACATTTGCAGAACCTTCGAGCTGGGTTTTCACTCGTCATTGATGTGAACACATCAGCTGCATCGCCACAGTCACATAGCCTAACCTCAAATGGACTACTAGAGGATCGACTATATCGGTTGCTTGAACTCGTGTGAGAAGTATTCGACATCTGTCTTGGCTGAAAATGTGAAAATTAATAACTTATGACTCATTTCAATCAAGATACCGGGAAGAATAAAAAAAAGGTGTGTTAAAATATAGAACAGTTTCAGTTAGAAGCAAATTGAAATGTGCAATTGCATTTCAATAACAGATATATTTTTCAGTCAAGTTAATCATAATAATATCATTCTTGTTAAAACAGATGCAACTTTTTCTGTGTACATACAAGAAGGCTGGTAACCAAAACAAAGCAAGATCTATCCATATCCATATCTTCCTTCAGAACATATCACAACTGGGATTTGATGAAATACATGAATAATGACAGCAACTGAAGACAATCTCATAATCATACCCAACTATAATGACAGCAACTGATGACATACATAACTGATGAAATACATGAAATACAAGTTAAATGACATCGACTGATAAAATACATAACTGAAGACAATCTCATATTATAACTACACAGCAAATAATAAATTCATGTCAAAGATTAAGCATGAAGACAATCTCTTCCACATGGATGTAAATACAACTGAAATGAATTCAAACAGGTTAAGGGCAGAACATAGGGTTCGAAAATTGCAGCCATTTCATTACAAATTTGGCCAGCCATTTCAGTACAAATTGCAATGCTTCAAAATTTTAGAGGGCTCGAAAATGCAGTCGATACGTACGCTTAAGGGCAGAACACAGGGTTATAAAATGCAACTTGTTTTTTAATTTGGGGATTTGAAAATTCCTATTATCGGCCAAACCTAGGGTTTCGAAAAGCTATGAAAATCGAACAACTCCGACTCAGAGATTGAAAAAACTAGGAAATTCCGACTTAACAATCTCAAATTTATCACAGATAAATAAATAATTCGAGGAAATGAGAGGAAATTCAAACCCGTCAATCTTCACGAATCGCAGAAAACAAAAAATTCCGATGTCCAAAACGGAGAGAACAAACAATGTCTTACCTTTCTTCGCGAATCCGGTATGTTCTTCGCACGGTTTTCACTCCGTCGTTTTTCAACAATCGCGCACGAACCTTTGAAAATGGAGAAGGATGAAAAAAGCTTCTGAAGAATGGAAAAATTTGATATCGATTTTGATAAATAGAAATGAGGGCAAATTTGTCTTTGGATTGTGTAACCTGCCAAATAGTCCATGGAAGTAAATATGGGATTCAATTATGCAAATCCCATTCCACGATATAAACAAAGGACTAAATGCTGATATGTAAAGTTAAGTTGGATAACTTATATTATCCCATGCTACAAAGTAAATGACCCCTTAGAATCAAAACCTTTTGATTTCACAGCCTCACTGTAGAAACCGGAGGGTAACCTGCCAGAGGCAATTCATCTTGCCGCATAAAGTGTACGGCACCTCCACACACACACACACACAAAGATTTCAGACGCCGAGAAAACACCTCCAAACGCCGCCGTCGTTTAGTACTTCGCTGGGGAATGGCTGAAGTAATTTCCCTAATGGACATCGACGGCGAGAACGACGACAGCGGCCTGCCCCCAAACCCTAGCAGCAAGGGGAAAAACGTCGTCGTTGCAGCTGGTCCGGCTGACAGCAAGGCCACCCCTTGGGTCGAGAAGTACCGCCCTCAGTCTCTAGAAGACGTCGCTGCGCACCGCGACATTGTTGAAACCAGTAAGAATCCTCTCTTTTTGTCTCCTTTTTTTGGGCATTTATACAAACAGTCGGTGGGCTTAAGTGCAATGGCCCTCCGATGCTTTGAATTTGAGCTGTGGAGTTGTTATGCAGATAATTTGATGCTTATACCTGATTCTGGCCTTTTGTAGATGAGTTAATTTTAGTATTCTAGAGTTTTTTGTCTCCTCCCGGAATGTGTTTGTTACTGTTTGGTTCTTTCGCATTTATGCTAACAGTTGGTGGGCTTGTCATGGCTCTCTGATGTTTTTAATGATATGTGGGGTTGTTATTCAGATAATTTGATGTTTATGTCTGATTCTGGCCTTTGTAACCATGGATGGCTTAATTTGTTATTCTAGGGTTTTCAATCTCCCCTTTTGATTTATTTTTTTTTTTCCAGAAGTTCAAAATTTGCACCGCTTAGCTCAAGTCACATAATTTTATCTGTCGTGTTTCTACTTTCCTTTGTGCGGTTCTAAATTTTTTTTTTTCTTATTAACAGTTGATAGGTTAGCAAATGGAAACAGATTACCACATTTGCTGCTGTACGGGCCACCTGGGACAGGGAAGACATCAACTGTCCTTGCATTGGCTCGTAAGCTTTATGGGAACCAATTGCACAACATGGTCCTGGAGCTTAACGCGTCTGATGATCGTGGTATTGATGTTGTGAGACAGCAAATTCAGGACTTTGCGAGCACTCAGAGCTTCTCTTTTGGGTACTTTGTTTATCCCTCAGGCCAAAATACAAACATGCTTAGGGTTTAATGCAGGAATGAGGTAGCAGATTTTCTTGAGATTTATCTTCATAGGTTCTCTTTTGCAGTGCAAAGTCTTCCGTGAAATTGGTTCTATTGGATGAGGCGGATGCCATGACGAAGGATGCTCAATTTGCTTTGCGTAGAGGCAAGAACCTTTCACTTCTCTTACAGCTTTATCCACCAAATTTTCTTTCGCGTTTACT